TCATGCCCACAACGGTCGCCAACAATTGACTTGCCTTGACGGTTCAGCTTCCCATTGTCGAGTCAACGAAGGATTCTTGCGGTCACCCCGACATCCCAGCCCCGATCGGACCAGAGCTGGACGTAGAGCAGAAAAGACAAGTTCAGGGAGCTGCTCACCAAATTTGAACCAATTTTCGCTACTAAGGCAGAACAAATAGGACTTCACCCCCATCTGCAGCTGCATATCGAGACCCGCTTCTTTTCCTCTTTGGTCCAATCGGGGTCGACCGCCCCGGTCTTGAGGAATCTCATGCAGTTTTTGTCTTTCCAAATGCCGTTGTGCCGACCAGCGTGCTCCTCCTTGGGTTCAAGATCGATCGGGGTATCCTCCTCGAGGGTGGGGTCGAGACGTTGCTCTTTGGCGGGTGGCTCGGATGCGTCCTCGGTCTCCATTGGGCATTTCCCTCGGTCAAGATCTTGAGTGGGTAGCTCGAGGGTGTCGACTGCGGCTGGAACTTGTCCTTCCTGAAAGGTGTCTTCAGGGGGGTTGTCGGTGGGATCATCGGTTGCTTCCTCGAATTCAGTCGAGTCATCTTGTTCGGAATCGGTAGATTCCGATTCCTCTCCTGTTTCAAAAGAAAAGACGACCGTCATGAATGAAGAGAGGATGGTTCGGCTGAGAGCGTCGACGTTTCGGTGAGAAGCGCCGGCCTTGTATTGGATCTCGGAGTCAAATTCATGCAGGCGAAGGCTCCAGCGGGCGAGCTTCCCTATCAGGTCCCGGAATGTCATTAACCAGGTGAGTGCATGGTGGTCGGTCGACAGTCGTAGAGATACAGTCGGAAATGCTTGACGGCCCAAAGAACGGCCAAACACTCTCCATGCGTCAGGGCATAGTTGGTCTCGGCTCCTAGGGTGGCTCGGCTAGCGTATGCCACCACGTGTTCCAGATTCTGTTCGTCGCGTTGGGCGAGAAAGACGCCCAATGCTTATGCAGAGAAGTCGGTCTGAAGTAGGAAGGGTTTGGTGAAATCGGGGGTAGATGGGGATCGACGTGCTGGTCAAGACGGTTTTTAGCTTGGAAAACGCCTTATTGCACTCGTCGGTCGACTCGAATGCCGCTTCTTTCTTAAGTAGTTGGGTGATGGGGGTGGCGATTTTGGAAAACCCCCAGATGAATCGCCTGTAATACGAGGAAATGCTGAGAAATTCGCGGACCTGCTTCACCGTCTCTGGCTGCGGTCAGTCCTGAACAGCTCGGATTTTCTCTGAGTCGGGTGCAACCTCGTTCCGGCTGATGATGTGTCACAAGTACAGAGTCTTGTCGAAACCGAAGTTGAATATGTTGATCTTGAGCAGGAGGGAGTGTTCCTGGATTCGGCGCAAACCGAAATTGCATTTGTTGATATTGAGCAGGAGGGAGTGTTCCTGGATTCAACGCATAGCGAGCTTGATATGGTCGAGCTGCTCCTCCCAGGTATTCGACTAGATGACCACGCCGTCTAAATAAGCGATGATGAACGGCAGGTCACAGAAGACTCTCATGATGAATCGCTGCCAGGTAGCGGGCGCGTTCTTGAGTCCGAATGGCATACGAGTGAACTCGTAGAGCCCAGTTGATGTGACGAACGCAGTCTTGGGGATGTCTTGTTCGGCTACCACAATGTTGTAATAGGCCGACTTGATGTTCAGAATCGTAAAGAAGCGAGCCCCTCGGAGTTGGTCCAGGATCTCATCGATCCTTGGGAGGGGAAAACGATCTGCGCTCTTGGAGATTGCATTCAGCTTCCGGTAGTCGATGACGACCCGGATGCCCAAATCCTTCTTTGGAACAAAGAGACATTGGGTGGCCCACGGACTATGTGATGGATGGATGACCCTCTGCTTCAGGAGAGAGCGGACCTCCTTCTCAATTAGCTCCTTCTCTGCCACTGCTGCACGATAGGAATTGTGTGCTATCGGATTTTCGGTGATGGTCTCGATGTGCAGCTAAAGATGGGGTAAAGTCCTATCTGCTTTGCCTTGGTAGCAAAAATCGGTTGAAATTCGGTGTGCAGCTCCCTGAACTGTCCTTTCTGCTCTACATCAAACTCTGGTCCGATCGGGGCTGGGATGTCGGGGTGAGCAGTCTCGAGGTTGTCTGCTGAGCCTTGAGTCTTGAGGGTGTAATAGCAGTCGAGCATGATAGTACCGATGTCATCCTGCTTCGTATAGTCGTCGGATTCGTCGGGGTAATCCAAATAATCTTCTCCCCAATCAGCTTCGGAGGCATCGGACTCCGGATTAGAAGCCTCGTCGTCATCTAAGTGCTCCATGGTCATGAACTAGGAATGACTATGAGTTGTTTTTTCGCAGAGGATTGGGATGGTCTCGACCTCTTGCAGGTTGAGCTCGTAGGTGAGGGTTTAATCGCCGAAGTTGATGTAAGCTCCGGTACTAACCAATCATTGCCAAAGTACATGCCGTAGCTAATCGCTCCGGTGACCGGGACGTCGATGGGAAGGGTCAGCGACCATACTCGAATTGGGACGTTGCGAAGTTCGCCCCATGACTTAGACTTGACCCCACTTGATGCCATAAGCTCGATGTTGCATTTTTCCACATAATCGAGCAGACTGAGGCGTCAAACTACCACGTGAGATAAGGTAGTGGTTGATGCTCCGGAGCCGACTATCGCTGTAATGGTGTGCCGGCCGATTTGCACCAGACACTGGACAACCGAATATGAGGTCATATTAAGTCTTGGAGCTTTCTTTTGTACCGCGTAAGATGGCTGAGCGAATACATTAGTAGCCATCCGGGTACTACTTGATGGTCCTAGTACCGCATGTGTTGTCACATCGTCGGGCAGCGTCAGCAACACCTCGATCAACTTTTTGCGGGCACGGGAGCAGTCGCTCAGGTAATTCCAGAGACTAATGCCTTCTTTGGTCTTTTTTAGTAGCTCGATGGGCAGATATCGGTTGGTTGGGACGCTGGAACGGGAGACGAACCGTCGAGCAGGTGCCGATTACGTTTCGACGCGACGACGGATCTCTTCCTGCGCCACTTCTACCGTCCATCCCTGAGGGTCTCGAACCGGAATCTGTCGGGTACGTTTGGCTCCAGTTAATGCACAGGCTTTCGCATCAGCGTCGAGGAAAACAGTTATGGGGGATTTCTCTTCCACGGTCTGCATCATGTTGCTCGGACGAGTTATCCTCTTGGTCGGGCATTCACAAGCAAAATGTCATGGTGCCTTGCACATGTGGCATGTGGACGGGCCAATCTTACTCTCATATGTCCTATATTCAGTAAGACGGCTGGACTGGTTCATGAGAAGAATGCGCAGCTTCTTCATCTCATCTGCAAGAAAGTCAGCTCCCTCCTTAGATTCCTCCTCGAACATGACTTTCTTGCTGTGCTTGGTGGTCTCACTACATCCTGAGGAGTAGATGATCACGTCTTCTACTTCTACCATGATTTTCGGGCCCTTGGAGAGGATTCGCTCGCGCATAACGATGTCCTTCAGTGCGTTGATGTAGTGACGCACGATCCCTTATTCGGTGTACTCTTTCAATTACAAGATGATTTGCTGAAATGATCCAGGGGGTCTAAGGCACTTTGCCCCGACCTCTGCTTGACGGTGTGCATATATCCGATGATATCGCTGTCGGGGTTGAACATGTACTGACTTTTGAACACCCTCACGAAGTCTTCCACCTTTTTTAAATCTTCGGCTTCCGCCCATATGAGGGGACTTTCTTGTAGGGTGTACAGGATGATGTCGATCTTACTGTCTTCAGTCGTGTCATTCTTACACTCGATGCGCAGTTTTCAGAGGACCCTTTTCAAATATTGCTGGGCCTCCAAATACGTATCGAAATTTGAAGCGTGGCTCATGATGATCGTTCTTCTCGCCAAAAGGGAGAAGAGTTGCTCTGATACGAATCGGAGAGCTGAATTATTTCTCTTTTCTTGGTTAGTTGCGCCTGTCTTTTGATAGCTCTCTTCGTTAGACAAGCAGGGGATCCTCTGTATTTCGGCCTTGGGCTATAACCTAACGCCTCACCCAAGATTGGTAGTCTCAAATCGGATATGAACACAGTCTTTAATCTACAAGGGGATCCCTTACTGGGGAATAGGTTTTACCGCCTATCTGGGCATGCCCGGTAATTCCAGCGATCATTGGTGAACCCACGGGAAGCAGACAAAATTGTTTGTATAATCAACGAGGTAATACACAGCTGGAAGTGATCTCATCCTCAGAATTACTCTGCTCTTCATACTCGGGATCTGACTACTTCGTAAACAATTATTTCGGTCCCACATGCGGCTTGGCAAACTGCATGTAACCTCTATGAATCCGGACTGCAGCCGATTGTCTACAGTTTGGCAACCGTACCCAACCTCTTGTCATCGGACTCCCAGTCAGTTGATCATGTGTACGCCTCTTTGGTTGATCCTGCATGCACCTGGACCGGCATTGATTCACATCCGCGTTGGTTCAAGCGGCTTGTGCAACTGCAAGTAACATCCGTTGACTCGGCACTCGGGAAGTTGACTCGCTATGGCAAGTTACTTGTTGTTACAGCGCACGCCACTCGTTCACCTCACATCCCATTTATGACCCCCCCAATCCAACTCACCCCACCCTACCCAACCCCACCCACCTCATGAGTTGAGCGCAGCAACCAGCCGGGCAGGCTCAACGTGTCATGGGCATAAGCCAGGTGCGTTAATCGCTGCACACCCTTGGGATCATCGGGCAGAAGCAGCTCTGGGCGATGTGTGCCACCTGCCACTCCTGCCATTTTGGCACCTACTCAACCCCCACCACCACCATCACTCACCTCGTAAGTTGAGCGCAGCACCCAGTAGGCAAGGAGGGAGCATAACATCATGAGCATAAGCCAAATGCGTGAGGCACAGCACGCACTCGGGATCATCCGGCAGCAGCAGCTCCGCGATGTTCGCCACTTGCCACTACGCCAGCTTAGTACCCCTCCCAACCGCATCCCACTCCCCCCCCTCCAAATTCTAACTCACCTCATGAGTTGAGCGCAGCACCCAGGCAGGAAGAACCGGTGCATCATGGGCATAGGCGAGGTGCATGAGGCGCTGCACGCCCTGGGGATCATCGGGCAGCAGCAGCTCCGCGATGTGCTCCACCTGCCACTCGCCCAGCACTGCTGCATGCTCCTCCGCTGACGTCATCAGCCCTGACCCTGCCAGCACCAGCCGCTGCACCCTGCCCGGCTCCAAGCAGGCCATTCTAGGAGAAAAAGAGAGGAAAAAACGGGGTGAAGGGGGCAAGAGGGGAGGGGGAACAACAGGAACGGCGGATTGGAAGAGGAGTTTTTTTCTAGAGCAAAAACAACAGGCAGTCGCTGCGCAATGCCCAGCTCCAGGCACGCCATTCTGAGAGGCGACGAGGGCGGGGGAGAGGAAGAGAGGGGGGGGAAGTGGAGAGTAAGGAAAGAGAGGTGGATGGGTGGGGGGGTTCGAGAGGATGGTGTTCTTTCTACCCTGCACGGCTCCAGGCACGCAATTCTAAGAGGCGAGAACAAGAAGGGGAAGGAAATGGAGAGTGGGGAGAGGGAGGGAGGGGAAACAAGAGGAACAGGGGGTCGAACAAGAGGTTGCTCCAACAGAGTACAATCAGCAGGTAACCTGCCCGGCTCCAGGCACACTGTTTTGAGAAGTCGAAAGGAAGGAAAGGTGGGAGGTGGGGGGGGGGGAGAAATGAAAGAGGCAAGAGAGGAAAATGGGAGGGAGGGGGGGGAGGGGGGGGGGGGGGGGGGGGAAAGGAGGGTGTTTTATGGCACCCTGCCTGACTCCAAGCAGGCCAGTCTGGGAAGAGAAGAGGCGAAGGGTGGGGAGGGGAGAAGGCAGAGGGTTGGCGACGAGACTCCTTTACAACGAGGGGTGAAGAGACCGGTGTTGCACCTTCTTTGGCTCGAGGCACGCCATTTTGGGAGGAAAGAGTAGGGGGAAAGGCGGGGTTATATTCTTGGAGGAGATTAAGGTTATTCTCTTGAAGTATTGAGAGTTACTCTCTTGAAAGAATAAGTTGCTACCTTGAGCTTTTCTCTTCAAGACTATATTTTGTTTTTGAAAGCACTAAAAGTTGTTTTTTCCATTGAATCGATGTTTCGGGAAACATTCAGGAAACATGCGACTGTTGCCCACCTGCATGCGACTTGCTCACCTGCATGCGACCTCTCCCACCTGTATGCGACGTCGCCCACCTGCATGCGACGTCGCCTACCTGTATGCGACGAAGCCGCCGTAGCTGAGCCCGACGAGCGCGCACTCGGCAATCTCGAGGCGGTCCAGCAGGCGCAGCATGACGTCAGCCTGAAACATTTCCGACCGTTGATCGCTGCGGCTGCGCGATCCGCCGAAGAAGACGAGATCCGGCAGAACCACGTCGAAGTCGCGCGAGAACGCCGCGACCTGATTGGTCCACTGCCAGATCGCCGACGCGCCAAAGCCGTGAAGCATTAGGAGAGGTGGCTTGCGACGACTCGCTGTCGCATTCCGCTGCAGCGACTGCGATTGCGACAGCGATTGCGAAAGCGACTGCGATCGTGAAAGGGAGTCGGCGTAGTGTCGCGGGGCCCAGCATGCGACGTTGGTCTCGTCGTCCACCTGCACGTCGAGCAGTCGCAGGCCGTGTCGCATGTACCAAAGGCGAAGCAGTCGCTCCTGAATGCGCACGACGTTCGGCAGGCGAAGAAACGTCGCAGCCATTGCAGGGGAAGCTAGTCAACCTGCAAGATCTGCAGGCAGAAGGTTACTAAGGCCGAAGGGAAAAGCGCGGACTCGCAGGGCTTGAAAAAAGGGCGGTATTGTGACGACTCATCGAACAGGAAACGGCTTGCGAGGACCGTCTATCAAATGGCGAGTGCTAGGACTAGCCATGGCTGCGAATTTGTTGCTCATTTCTCGTGGTTCTGCGTTGATCGATCGATCGATAGATCATCACCCTTCAACTGTTCGTCCACGCAGCATGCTAGTCTGTGCTGTCGAAATTGTCAGATTCGTACTCGTTACAGTAAGCATCTTGGCCGGTAAGACAATAAAAACGCTCAGTTGATTCTCAAATGGTTTGACTTTGGCGCTTGCCTTTGCACACGCAATAACCAATGTAAAGTTCAAAAGTGCATACAGTACAAGTACAACGTTTCGACTCGTATTTTGCAAGCCTGGCTCATACTCTCAAAGGTATGGACCCATAATGGCCCTAGCAGATCATATCCTACAATCAACCAATCAACCAATCTCATCCATTGCAATCCATTGGTGTCAACTGGCGGGCTTGGCACGGGGATACCAATGACTTGTCGGACTCCCCAGGCGTCGTGCACGCGGCCAAGCCCCACTTGCATCCCACCACCGATTTGCTCATCAACCCGCCTTCCGAACACTGCTTCTCTTCATGTAGTGCATGTGAGGCGTCCACATGCATATCCGTACTGCACGGGTTGCCCTGCATTGCCATCTTTTCTTCGTCTCGCATGTCTTCACCTGGCGGGCGTTGGGCGTCCACATGCATACCCGCACTGCACAAGTCATCCTGTGTTTCCATATCGTCTCCCCCTTGCTTCTCCCCATGTGACTGGCATGCAGCGTCCGCATGCATGCCCCCATTGCGGAATGCAACTTCCTGCTCTGCCATCTCATGCATGCCCACATCGGTGCAGACTGTGTTGGGTGCTGCTTCACATGGTGCGTCTTGTGCTTCACATGGTGCGTTTTGTGCTTCACATGGAGCGTCTTGTGCTTCACATGGTGCGTTTTGTGCTTCACATGGAGCGTCTTGTGCTTCACATGGTGCGTTTTGTGCTTCACATGGAGCGTCTTGTGCTTCACATGGTGCGTCTTGTGCTTCTGGCATGGTGGTGGCTGTTTCAGGTACCGTTGGCGCTGCTTTGAGCATCGCTTGTGCTGCTTCGGGTTTCTCTGCTGCTGCTTCACGTGGTGCCGCCTGTGGTCCTGTCAATGTGGTGGTTGTTTGAGGCAGCGCTGTTGTGGGTTCAGCTGCTTCACCTGCCTCTGCTGCTTCAACTCCTGTCTCTGTGGTTTCATGTAGCCTAATTGCTGCACAAGCAGCAGCTGTGTCACATGCAGACTTCTCGGCCCGATGCCTCTTACGGCACCCTGGAACCATGCCTTCTGCTGCTGCTACTCTGGCTGCGGCTGGGGTCGCCTGGAGCTCTGCTGTTACTTCTGATGTTGCCTCTGCTGCCGCTACTTCAGTTTCTTCCATATGATAACCCACAAGCACAGAGGAGCCAGGACGCCAGTCCCTAGTCACCCTTCCAGGGAGGTGGTGAGAGGCCGAGGAGGGGAGGCGGGGTGGAGGAGAGTGGGGAGGAAGCGGATGGAGGGTGTGCAGGGCGACCTGTGAGGGGGATAGAGGAGGGGATGGCGAGGAGAGGGTGTGGAAAAGGGGCGGAGAGGCAGAAAGGGGTGTGAGGAGCAGTGTGGCTTGCAGGAAAAGTTTAATTGGGGGATGGGAGCAGGCTACACGTGGTTGGAGTTTACAATGGGAGGCAGCATGCTGCCATGCACAAGAGGGCATCATGCTGCCATGGACAAGAGGCAATATGAATGAGAGAATGTGAAAAGGCGAGAGACGAATCTGTCAAAGAGAGTGAGAAGAGTAAATTTTTGTGGGAAGTGCAGTGCAGGCGAGAAATGTGTCAGCAAGAGACGCCGAGAGAAGTACACTTGTAAGAATCATGCGTAAGCATGATGAAATGGATGAAGGCATGGCTTACAGAGGAGTCATCCGCAGCAGAGAGCATGGAATCTCCATCCACAGGTGACCTGGGTGATGCGAGGATGGGGTGTTGGGGGATGGGAAGTTGGAGATGTAGAGAGATCGGTAGGGGTGGTAAGGTAGGGGTCGGAGAGTTTGCATGAAAAGAACACACAAAGGGCTTGCATCGTCATAATATGCTGCCATGCGCGCCATGACATGCAACGCATGCACCATGGCATGCGACGCATGCACCACGGCACGCGAGGCAAGCATCACGGCATGCGACGCATGCACCATGACATGCATTGTGCATCGCAGGCACACCGGCATGCAACGCATGCACCGTGCTAACAAGTACCACCTATTGGCTCCTATCGGTGCATGTCAGGTCCTGAATCATTTCCATCATCACAACCCCATCACCCCATCCACCCATTCACTCATCACCCCATCACCCCCATCATCCCCACCCCCATCATCCCCACCCCCATCATCCCCACCCCCATCATCACCCCCACCAACATAATCACCCCCACCAACATAATCACCCCCACCAACATAATCACCCTTCCCAACAGCATAATCACCCCCACCATGAGCTACCCACCAGCGGAGGGCGGTAACCTCCCCCTGGTGTGCCTGGAAGGTGACAGATGGCATCGCATCATTGGACGACAGCTGGACGGGGAGGAGAGGGACGGTGAGATGGATAAGAGGGACAATGAGGGATAAGGGCAAGGCGAACAGCAGAGGGAGGCAGAGAGAACAGAAGGAAGCCACAGTTGTGAAAGAGTTGCAAAGGGCCCTCATGGTAAGCAAGTCCTGAGGACAAGAAAACTGTGAATGAAAATCAAAACGATTACAGATAAGAGTATTTTGTAGCGAAGATACACATAGCGACAATAATAATAGCTGCTAGTCACCTGCCACACGTTGATGTTGCCGTCACTGCCACCGCACGCCACCCTGCTTCCGTCGCTGCTGATGCTCGCCTGGAGAAGAGAAGGGCACGGGAGGGAGGAGAACGAAACATGGGTGCGTGCTGCTCGTGATGTATGCATGTTCGTCAAGCCGAGCTCTGATTTCATGTGTGCGCATGCGATTTTGTCCAATCTCTGCTTGAAATGCATATGTGGGAATGCGCCTATATGCGTGCATGTCCTATAGGTGTGCATAAGGTCATCATGCATTCTATGCACAGATAAAATGAGTGAAATCAAAGTTCCAATTTTCATGCTTTCGTAGCTTGATATCAGCTCCACACTTG